GTGATTCATTTTTCCAGCAGGGCGAGCACCTCGTCGGCTGTTTCAATGATCATCACAGTGATACCATGCATACAGTTAGCATGTATGCCTCCATGTGAGTACAAAGTAGGAGGACGTACGAGTGCGGTTGATGGCGTTTGGGATGTACTTCCACTCGGACGTCGGGTTACGAACGAAGTCGAAGGTTGGGCTGGACGCTGCAGTTGGTGGAGTTGGCACACTGGCAGGTGCGTTACGATTGTACGGGTGTCCAGCTCGGCCTGTTGCGCCGGGTCTGGCGAGCCGCGATGGGCCACGACTGAGCGGCGTGCGGAACTTGGAGTTCGAGAAACGTGGTCTGCCTCCCAGTCCAGAAGGAGGCCTCGGACGTGCTCCAGCCCCATTAGCAGTTGATTGTTGGACTGAACTAGCAGCTTCGAAGCTGACGTTCGCACTGGCTGAGGTGGCTGTCTGCATGGACGGAGTGAAGCTGATGGGAGTCTCATTGACGATCTCCACTAGGAATCTACAACCAGAAGGTAAGATAAAGGGATCATGTTGATAAATACGATTGTGAGTGACCTACTTGGACGTCTCGAAGTGCTCTTCGTCCTTGCGATCCCAATCGAATGGAGTCAACTTGGCCTCGTCAATGGCTTTCCCTGCCTTTCCTTCGTCTTCCGCGTACACGACGAGTCTTCGCGACGCGTAGAGCGTCACAAATCCATCTTGCCAGATCTTGCGCTTCTGCGTCTTGTGCTTGGTGTACATGCACCCGTACGTTACCTCCGGGCGCGAGCCTAGCAAGTCACACAACTTGGTCATGCTGCTCGCAGTAAAGCTGCGCTCAAATCGAACCTGTTGTACTCGATAAAAAAAATTGGTGACGGTAAGGTATTCCGTAAAGCAGGTGCAGCACCAGCATCTTGCAATCGAGTCGATTATCGACGACCAAGACCGACAAGACAAAGTTATGAGCATGGCGAGTGCTGTTGGCAAAGCGATATCTCGTGGCGAGCAGGCGAACTCCTAGCCAACTTGTTGCTTCCACCCACCATCTTGAAAATACTGCAATTAACAGCGCTTGATAGATAACGATGGCGGAGCAGGGAAGACCTTAATCAGAAATCATGGAAACACGTCGGGAAGAATGACCGAAACTCATTCCATCCACCGTCGGCATATCTGCAGTCAACTAAGCCGCAACTTCTAGACACGCTTCATCAACACAAGCAACTCGTAGATATATTTTCGGTTTTTCACTTTTCTTGGAAAGATCGCGACAGAACGGACCCTTCCTTTT